ACTCCCAGCATTGCTGCCATCTGCCCCAAGCGCAGCCCGGCCCAGTCCCCTGCCAGGAAGAACCCAGCACCTTGCTGGCTCCAGCCTGCAGCAGCAGCCTGCCCCTGCCATGTGCGCAGATCTAAGGGCACATGCCCTCCCAGGGGTGTACATAGTGGCAGGAGCCACCCCCTGCATGCAGCTCAATCCTGTGCCCAGCTCTGGCTGGGCAGCCCATACCTCTGCCCTAGACCCACTCCCTTCCCCATTGCTGGGGCCTCAATCTGTGCCCTGCCCCCCCACGTCCCTTTCCTCACAACAGACTTATCAGGCAGACATGGGTGCTCTCCACACTGCCAGGCTGCACTGCTGGCCACCTGCATGCTGCGCTGTGGCTGCACACATGCACACCACATTTAATTGGCCACATTATCAGCCAAATCGGTTTTGCATACTCCCTATGACCTTTTAAGTAGCCCTAGGGGTATGCATACCCCCAGTTGACAACCACTGCTCTCAAGGAGCATGAGAGCCTTACTTCTGAAGTCATTCTAGGAGAAGAGTACCTCCTACTGAGAAAGTGACAACTACTTGCAGGACATATGTTTTCCTTGGAATCTCCAAGGCCCATATTTCTTATGAGACTCCAGACTCCATTGCTCTTATGAGAAATAACACATTTGCAGCCTGTGAGAGTATGACTGCTCAAATCTGGTCATACTTTAGCATGTTTTACTACTAAGATGCTTTTTGAGGTGTAACTTACATGTCCAATAGTATGCAGAATCCATGAAAAGCTTAACTTGTATATAGTAAATATTTTAACAAAAAGTTCAAGCCAAGAGCTTCTTGGTACAATGATTCATAATTCATAAAAGAGGAAATGTATCATCAATTATCAACTAAAACTATCCAAGAACAGATATGAAGCCTGGAGAGCCACGTTGCAAGCTTCCCATTCTGTTGCCTTAATTTTTGTTAACCCTGACTTACTGTGACTACTCGTCCCTTTTTTTCTGGTTACAAGGAAGTTAAATTTCCATGTTCATTTAACCTTAGACTCCCTTCTGAAATTGCCAATGATATTGCCATCTACAGAGGTGACAGGTACATTTGTCACTAGGAATAGAGCCAAAATAATTAATTTCATATAGGCTGCCATCAGCCAGGGGGAGATTTTAAACTGGTGAACCAAAGGAAACTCCAGCATCCCACAACCAACCCTTGAGGTCTTGAAGCCTGGTCTATGAAGCCTGGTCTTTAAATATACAACAAATTTACAAAGCTAAACATCTAACTGGAATTCTAATATTAGCACTTAATACTAGAAGGAAGAGAAAAAGTGCAAGAGATAAGGCAGACAAGTGAAAAAAATTACTCTTTCCATGGAAAGAATCAAAAAATTATAAATTACCTGTCCAGCCAGGCTAGCAAGTTCTTGGCAGCACCAATCAGGTCAACCACAGAGGTAAGAAAATCATTTGGCAGTCGTCTGGAGGCCCTGCCATCATAATGGCCACTCCTCCTTCTACCCGTTATAAAGTTCTGAAGATTTTTGGCTGAGGCATTCAGCTTGTGAGAAAGTGTTCTTAGGTTTTCTGTCTCCAAACCATAATTCTGAAAGCAGAAGAAGCAAAAATGCACATGAATGTTTAAAACAAACAGTCAGTCAATGAGCTCTCTGTGCTAAATTGTGAGCTAAAGCATCTTAAACTTACTTTAATTCACTCAACTCTTGAGTTGTGAAGTCCAGGAAAATCAGCAAGCAATAAGCAGTACAACTAACCCATGAATATGGAACAGTTCTTATAAAAATACCCACTGAATTTTTTAAACAACCAACAGGAATGATGCCAAACTTGCACTAACTCTGCAAGGCAAGTTAAGTAGCAGATGTATTATCCCTTTTTACATAGGTGGAAACTGAGGGTCAGAGGCATTAACTAATAGGCCTAACACCATACAGTAGAGATGTCCAACTGGTGGCCCATGGATGACATGAACCTCACAAGGCATTAATGTATGGACCTCAGACTACTGCTCACACTCTCCCTGTCAAACCAACTGCTGCTGCTGCCAAAGTCTCCAAGCTTCCTCTCCCTTAGTGGTGACACATAGGGGGTGCACAGGGGTGCACATGCACCCCCTGCGAGTACTGGTGCACCCCCTGACAGCCTGCATTCCTGGGCAGGGGGGACAGGCGAAACCACTCGTGCCCCCCTTGAGAGTGCTGGCTGGGGAGTGGGGACACAAGGAGAAGTGATCCCTGCGGTCCCCCCACAGCTGATCACACCCACCTGGAAGTGGCAGTGGCATATCCAGAACTGTCAGTGGCGTGGCACTGTCACTTCTGGATTGGCATGATCAGCCACAGGGGGAACCCCCCGGTTACTGACTGGACACTG